ACTACTACTACTACTACTACTACTACTACTACTACTACTACTACTACTACTACTACTACTACTACTACTAACTACTACCACTGCTGGTGCTGCTGCTGCTACTCCTGGTGCTGCTGCTAATACTACTACTACTATTATCACCACCTCTACTACAACCTCCACTACCACCGTTGCTGTTGTTGTTGTTGTTGTTGTTGTTGTTGTTGTTGTTGTTGTTGTTATCTGCTGTGCTGTTGTTCCTTCTGTAGGTGTTGTCATTGCTTTTTTTGGTGTTGATATTGGTTTTATTCCTCTTATCATTACCATTAGTGCTAGCATCGGTTGTTGTTATGCTATTGTATATTCCTCAGCCATGGATATGGAGACAGTTCTCCGCGCTGTGGGCACCAGTGGCCGCTTCCAGATCGTGGTTGTGTTAGTGACCCAGGCAGCACGGGTGTCCGCCATTTGGAGCCTCTTCTTCATCACCTTCGGCATCTACGAGCCACCCTGGCACTGCGATAACGACGCATCATCAAACGCCACCTCACCATGGACTAATGGAAGTGAAGTCATAACAAACAATAGCTGTGACGTCATTGATTCGTGTGATGTAAAGTTTCAGGAAGGGTCGTCTACTCTGGTCACCGAGTGGCGACTGGTATGTGATCAGACTTGGGTTTCCACCACCCTCGCGACAATCCAGATGGTTGGAGTCACTTTAGGCGCAGTTATCGGAGGGCAAACGGGTGATCTTTTCGGTAGGAAACTCAGCATGTATGGATATACGTTGATTTTATCAATAGCAAACATTGCAATAATCTTTTCACCCTCATGGGAGGTGTATGCTGCTATCGTCTTCATCATTGGAATCTGCATATCTGGGATTTTTCCAATAGCGTTTGTGTACGCAGTTGAGTTTCTGGGGCCGAGAGGGCGCGACGTTCTGACGGCATTGCCCATTTGGAACGCAGCAGTCGGGTCGTTGGGGGTGCTCACTTTCTTTATTCGTAACTGGAAACATCTTCATCTCATTACCGGCGTTTATTCAGGGATTGTGTTTCTCTCGGTTTTCTGGACACCGGAAAGCCTGCGGTGGTTGTATGCGCATGGCAAAATTGAGGAAGCTCACGCCGTTGCAAAGAAAATAGGTCATGTAAATGGCAGAGAGGTTCCTGACTTCGAGCTTCTTAACAATGCCGAAAAGGATACCACAGGAGAAAAAGTAGTCTCTCGAAAATATACATACTTAGATTTGTTCAAAAACAGACGTATAGCTTTGCTGGTCGTGAAAGTGGTGCTTATAATGTTTACTTCGAATCTCGCTTATCTGTTCTTTGCACTGGGCGTGAAGGTGTTTTCTGGAGATTTCTATGTGAACTTCATGTTGTACTCTCTCGCAGAGATTCCTATAGTCCTTGTAGTGGCTTTAGTCATGCGGTTTCTACAGCGACGTCACGGGTGTATGTTTCTTCTGTCCGTCGCCTGTTTGTCCTGTCTTCTGATTCTCGCTATATTCTATACAGTTGAAGATGAGAGTGCTAGAGGAACGGCGATCACGGCTTTAGGGCTCATTGCGAAATCGTTTATTCAAGGGTTCTGCCAAATCAGCAACGTCCTGAATGCAGAGCTCTTCCCGACTGTACTCAGAGGTCTAACGATTGGGCTAATGGTCACTGCCGCGAACATCGGAGGGGTCATAGCGCCAGTTTTGATACCCCAAAACCCGGGTTTTTTCCCAATAACATTCTCGATACTCACAGCCGCTCTCCTTGTCTCTATCCTCATGGTCTGGTTACTACCAGAGACCAAAAACAGGCCCTTAGAAGACGTCACAGTTTCGAAGAGTAGTGAAAAACACCCTTCTTAAAGAAACGAAGCATGTTCACTGGAATCGGTATTTCTTATATGAGAATATTTTTCTAAGTCAAGTGTGGTGTAAGTAGACCTGTTTAATGTGTGCGTCTCTCTCTCTCTCTCTCTCTCTCTCTCTCTCTCTCTCTCTCTCTCTC